TCTCTCTCTCTCTCTCTCTCTCTCTCTCTCTCTCTCTCTCTCTCTCTTTGGTTTTTCGAGACAGGGTTTCTCTGTGTAGCCCTGGCTCTCCTGGAACTCACTCTGTAGACCAGGCTGGCCTCGAACTCAGAAATCCGCCTGCCTCTGCCTCCCAAGTGCTGGGATTAAAGGCGTGCGCCACCACCCCCCGGCTCCACTGCTCTCTTAAGTCTTCTCTTTCCTGTGCTGTTCTGACTCATTTTATCAAATCTTTGATTTGTCATTTTATCTGCCTCCCAGTTAGACCTCACTTTCAAACATGGCTACTTCCTTCTACAAACGAATTTTACCTTCATTGTTTGGGATTAAAGGTGGGTACTAAGGGTGTGCTTGTATTCCAGCCAGAGGGATTACAGGTGTGTACTCAGGACATGTCTGTATTGCAGCTGGATCGCACAGACCTAGAAGGTCTTTGGATGTGATCTCTTGCAAGAGCGGCCGTGTTGCTGGATTAAAATTCCTCTACAAACACCAAGCTACACAACTATAACATATAAGCATAGGACCCAGCTCAGACCCACACAGGGTTGTTTCAGTAAGAGATCTCATTTTACAACCCATTATGAAGGGAAGTCGGAACAGGAACCTGAGGCAGGCACCTAGAGGCAGGAACTGAAGCAGAGGCCAAGGAGGAGTGCTGCTTACTGGCTCATTCTTTAAGGCTCACTTAGCTTCCTTTCTTTCTATTTTTAAAATGAACAGTTAATTCTTTTTTACTGGTTTATTTATTTGATTTACATCCCAATATCAGCCCCCATCTGTTTTTTTTAAATATTTATCTATTTATTTATGTGGTTGCTGGGAATTGTTCCCAGATCCTCTGGAAGAGCAGCCAGGTTTTTCCCACCTTTGGAGGTGAGGACCGAACCCAGGGCCTTGTGCTTGCTAGGCCAGAGTTCTACCACCGAGCTAAATCCCCAACCTCAGTCCACAGTCAGTTTTTTGTTGTTGTTGTTTTTTTTTCCTTTTGAGATTTATTTATTTTACTTATATGAGTACACTGTAGCTGTCTTCAGACACACCAGAAGAGGGAATCAGATCCTATTACAGATGGTTGTGAGCCACCATGTGGTTGCTGGGAACTGAACTCAGGACCTCTGGGAGAGTAGTCAGTGCTCTTAACTGCTAAGCCATCTCTCCAGCCCAAGCTTGTAGCCCTTGCTTTATTTCTTATACATTCCAGGACCACCTGCTCAGGGTGACACCTCCCACAAGTAGACCGGGTCCTTTCTCATCCATCATTAATCAAGAATATTCCCTACAGATTTGTCTACAGCTATTTTAAAAATGTTTTAATTTTCCCTATATATGTATTATGTCTGCATGTATATCGTATATCATGTGCATGTCTGGTGCCCACAGGGGCCAGAAGAGGGCATCAGATCTCTTGAACTAGAGTTAACAGATGATTGTTAACTCCACGAGTGTACAGAGAATCAAACCTAAGTCCCCTGGAAGAACAGCTAGTGCTCTTAGCTGTTGAGCCATCTCCAGCCTCCTACAAGCCTCTTTTTTTTTTTTTTTTTTTGGTGGAGGGGAAGGGGACAAGGTCTCTCTATGTAGCCCTGGCTGTCCTGGAACTCACTGTGTAGACCAGCTGGTTTTGAACTTACAGAGATCCCCTGCCTCTGCTTCCTGAGTGTTAGGATTAAAGGTGTAAGGCACCATAGCCAGCTTAAAAGCCAATTTGATGGAGACTTTTCTCAGTTGAGATTTCCTCTTCTCAGGTAAATTTAGTTTGTCAAGTTGACAAAACTAACTACCACTCCTGAGGGAAGAGAATTGGAGTTCAGGATGGCTGTTTCTGAATTCCTCAGTACATCATGGGGAACTTCAACCCGAGCCCCAGCCCCATGTCCAGAGGATAAGAGTGATCAAGTAGACAGTACGACTGGGAACTCAGGTCTTCAGGGTCACCTTCAGAGGAGTGGTTTGGTAGCTAACCCCACTGGGGTATTGTCAGTATAGGTGATGTTTTGTACAAGGTGGGGGTATAGTTTTTCTCTGGTCTGTTCTGGATCTTTCCTGGACCCTATGGTTCTTCTCTCTACTGGTGTCTAGACACTTGTGGATGTACATGGCCTTGTACATGCATACTACCATGTATGGACACTCTTCCACTTCAGCCCTCAGTGGTGTATGTCTGGCTGAATCAGGCCAAGGGAGCAGGGCCAGGGGCCATGGGTCAGAAGGGTTTTTTAGAAGCTATCAGCTGCCAGTTGCTCACTAGGTAGAACATTCAGGCTGTAGTCTCTGCTGGACTATGTATGTGGTCACCTCTGTCCCTTTCTTGGGCTCCAGACTCATCAAAGAAAACTTGAGGGAAGCCGGGTGGTGGTGGCGCACGCCTTTAATCCCAGCACTTGGGAGGCAGAGGCAGGTGGATTTCTGAGTTCGAGGCCAGCCTGCTCTACAGAGTGAGTTCCAGGACAGCCAGGACTACACAGAGAAACCCTGACTCGAAAAACCAAAAAAAAAAAAAAAAAAAAAGAAAGAAAAAAGAAAAAAAAAGAAAACTTGAGAGAAATGGCAAGGTGGGTGTGTGTGAGATAAATCCTAGGCTGATCAGGCCCTTCCAGGCATGCTTCCTGGATTCTGGGGGCTACCATGCATCCACATCTGAGAGACCCTGAGCATGCCGCCTTGTGGGCTGAGGTTGCAGTTCCCCATAGTTCCCTCTGGGAGGCAGCAGTAGGCTGGTTCAGTGGACATAGGTGCTGGGCTGCGAGCTGCAAACCTCTAGGCATCTGGAGTTTCCATTATGATGCAGCCCCTTTAAGAGCTGCTCAGCTCTACCCATGGACATCCTCCGTTTTACTCTTATTATTCTCTACTTCCTCTGCTGCCTCACTCTGGACCTTCAGCAAAAGGTTTTCCTTGTTCTGCCTCCCCTCCTGTCGTCTGGGCTGCAGATCAGATGGGTACCTTGGCCTCATGTTAGTATCTGGCCCGCACTTGGGGGTTCATATGATCTGCATCCTTTGGTAGGGTTGAAGTTCAGAGATTGGAGGATGGGGCCCAGCAAGGGACTATCATCTCGTCTTTGATCGATGGGCTACTGTGTCTCTGGGCACACCTGCAAGGTGTCATTTACAGTGTGCTTGTCTGTCTGGGATGAGATGGTGTTCATTAGTCATAGGCTGATTCTTCCTGAGCTGGTCAAAGTGAAATTCCAGGTCCCTGGTTCTGCAATTATAGAGAGTTGCAGAATGGCGCCAGTGGGACTCTCAAAATGGCCCAAGACTGTGATAGAATTTGGCCTTGCTCCCACACCCTAGGAGAATGGACTGGACCAGAGGCTGAGCTGATTCCGTGAGCTCTCTGGACCAGCAGGGGGCCATCCGAGGGTTCTTTGGCATCTCTCCTCTGCTACCGTGGTCAATGAATTCTCTTTTTTAAGTTAGAAAACCTCATGGACACCTCACCCTCCCAGGCACCACAAGCTCCCTACAGTGCTTGAAAGCCAAAGCCGCTTAAGTTGCCACCAACAGCAATTGGGTCACGTCTTCATTTCCTCGGGGCTTTGCACATCATTGAAGTGGTTGGAGATTTGCTGCGGAATGGGCAGCAGGCCTGTTAGATGTGGTCTGGGGTGCAGGTTTGGGGTCGAGAGCTGCGGTGTCATTCCCGGCCCAGTCCCTTCAAAAGCTCCCCCTGTCCTTCAGCGGCGTCTTCTTGGGAGACCCCGGGAGGGTAACGGGAGGGTGGGGGCTCGGGGTCGCTGCGATTGGCCGGTGGGGCGGGGTCCTCGAGGGGCGGGGCCACGCTGGATTGGCCGGGCGCGCACGGAGCGCAGCGGGCCGGCCCGCAGGTGTCTGGCCGCGGGGTGGGAGCCAAGTCGCGCGCTCGCTGCTACCGCGGGGCCGGGGAGGTGCCGGAGCTCGCCGGTGTGGTGCGGATGGGGCGTCCGGTGGCCACGGGCGCGGAGCGCAGACAACGGCTGTAGCCAGTGAGCTTGGCGGCGGGGGCCCAGCCTCCCCACCGCGATGCGCCGCTCCAGCACCGACGAATCCACGTACCGGCGCAGCCCTTCTCCGGAGAGCAAGGAGCCGGGCTTTGCGCGCGGCGGCCCCTTTCGGCGCTGCAGCAGCCTGTATGGGCGCGCGGGCGCCGGGGACACCGGGGATGCAGGCGGCGGCTTCTTCGGCCTGCACTCGAACCCTGGCCCCAAGGCAGCCCAGGCGCGCTATACAACGCCCAAGGGCAACAAGTATGTGGTCTTCTACCTAGATCTCTCCTTCATCTTCCTTCTAGAGCTGAAGCGCTGCAGCATGGCGCGCGGCTGCCTCCAGGGCGTCAAGTACCTCATGTTCGCCTTCAACCTGCTCTTCTGGGTGAGTGAGGGGGCCTGAAGGACTGGGGTTCGCTGCTCTCCTAGTGGCTTCCAGGAGCTCTCTCCTCCCTTCTCTACTGTGGAGACAGGGTGTGTGCGCACGTGCTCACAAGACCCGGCAGTACCAAGCCTTGCCTTTTCTGGGCTCCAGGCGTAGAACTGATCAACGTCTCTGTGCACCGAGCCACGGGTGCCTTCTTCAGCCTCCTCTCTGCCCTCCCTCTTCCACCTACGTCCTTGCCTCACCCCATTCACACTCTGCCCCTCTGGGAGATTGACTTACAAGGTCCTGGTTCCCCAGGACTCAGAAGACCAAGAGTATGTGCACTGCTTGACCTATTAGGGCCTAGGGAGATATACCAGACACTGGTCAGGGACTCTCCATGGACATGGGTGGCACCTGGCTCCCTGCCACCTCAGCAGAGCCTCTAACTTTTGCGTGAAGTAATGTTCCGTTGGGGCTTACATGATGATAGAGCAGAGGAGGGTCCCCTCCAGTGTGGATGGAGCCCAGTTTGCACAGTCTCAACCCTGTGGAATGGGGAAAGTATCACATTTCATTATCACCTGGTGTTGAGGCTTGGCTGAATCTGGAGCGTGAGTGGAGCATGCTAGATTTGATTAGAGGTGACCCTTTATTACCTGGGCATGGCCTGGACCTTCACTTACTAGCTGGAACACTTGGAGAATGGTGTCCAAGGTCATTCCAGACTCTACCTTGATTCCTGAGCCAACTTTCTGGGAGTGGGTGTGTGCGACTGAGGATGAGGGGTGTGGTTGGGATGAGGGAGCACAGCTTGGGAGTGAGGATTAGGGGGATCCCTGTTTGCTGCTCATTTGCATGCAGTCCAGTTCAAGTCAAATGTGCAGGTCCACTTTTCTGACCCCTTTTCTTATAGCCCTGGCCCAGGGCAGGAGCTGGGCTTTGCTGGGACCCTGGGCTGCCTGAGGGCAGTAGTCCAGAGAGGCTGCTGCCCTACCTGTCCCATCTCCCCCACCCCCCACCCCCATCAAGAGCTCTCTGCCAGAGGCTCCTGAGAGGGATGGGCACAGGTCTGGGAGTACTCTCATACCAGGTGGGCATCAGAGATAGGTGTGGGCTGAAGCTGTAACCAGCCCATGTAAGGCGGATGCTTCTGTTTAACGGACTTCAGTGAGCACCAGTGTGTGTGTGTGTGTGGTCAGGAATAACTGATTGGCAGGGTCAGGGTGTCTCTGACATTGTGACAGTTTGGGACGGGGTGGGGGGTGTAGTGATTGCAGGCAACAGTATGACAGGTAGAAAAGGCCCAGGAGCTGCAAATGACAATGTGACTGGTAGACAGGTATAACACTGTGACCAGACCTGACAGCTGTAGGTCACTCTGATTGTAGCAGGCAGTGTAGGTGTCAGAAGGGGGTTAGGCGGTAGGAGTGTGGGGGCCGGGCAGTGGCTAGGTAGTGTTTGGTTTGGGGAGGCTGAGGTTGTTGGAGTTACTGCTCTCTTCCTGATCCGGCCACCTGGCCACAGGGAGAAGGGCTGACTGGCTACAGAGCAGGCACATTCCATGGACTGCTGGGTAATAAACCAGAGAAACGAACAATCAGTACCCTGTGGGACTCCTATGCTGAAAGCCCCGTACCCTTCTGCTACCTACATGCACCTCCAGCCCTGCAAACGGGCTCCTGCCTCGGCATCACTGTGGCTTCTCCCTCCAGCTTGAGTCCCAGTGAGGGGTTAGAGGCAGCCATGCAAAGGGTGCTGTGAACAGCATGGTTTTGCCTAGAAGTACCTGTGCCAGGCTTGGCAGAGTCCATCTGGGCTAGCAAGTGTGAGTCCATCCATCTGGCCTGGTCAGTATGATGTCAGTCCACCTTGTCGCTGGCATCTGTAAACTAAACTCCCCTCCTGCTGATGACAGGCTGTAGTGGGAGGGCCACAGCATAACCTACCCAAGACCCTGATTCTTTTGCTAGAGTCTTGTAGGAGAGGCTTTAATCCTTATTTGGCACTTATAAAGATTTATTTCTCTTATTTATATGAGTACTCTGTAGCTGTCTTCAGACACACCAGAAGAGGGCATTAGATCCCATTACAGAAGGTCGTAAGCCACCATGTGGTTGCTGAGAATTGAACTCAAGACCTTTGGAAGGGCAGTAAGTGCTCCTAACCACTGAGCCACCTCTCCAGCCCTCATTTGGCACTTATAATACAAGATCAGCAGACAGGACCCTAGCCTCTGCCATGTGTCTTGCCTCTATTAGAGGGTTAACTCTAAGAGTTAACCAGGCAACTGGAGTCAAATCTGAACTAAACCCCTGAGTATGTGGGGACCCAATGAACCCTTGCCTTCCTTTGGCAAATAGTCTGTCACTGGGCAGTGATGCTCAACTCTATTGGGCAGTTGCTCAGCCTGCCTTTGAGATGTACACAGGGAAGGACTAGCTGGTTAGGGCTGGGAGTGCCTCAGGGAAGTGGGCTGAGTACACAGTTGGGTGCTGGCCACTGGCAGTAAGGGAGTGGGGGCTGAGCAGCCCCTGGGACCCCGTCTCAGGCCTCTGAGGCTGCATTGTCAGCTGGGCCTCTGCCAGCAAAGCTCTTCCTGTAATGGAAGTTGAGGTCCCCTGGGATCAAGGGGAGTCGGTGAAGCCTGGTTCTTCTTGCCTCCTCTCTCCTTTGCCCTCCCCTCCCCTGCCCTGGGCTCTCAGAGCATCTACCTTCCTGGGCAGCTACTGTGGTGTAAAGGTTAGTTGTAAGTGGGGCTGATTGCATGGAGTGGGGCGAGGACCTTCCCATGGCTCTTCTGTGTCCAGGTTCTAGAGATGCTAGCTAGGCCTGAGCCATGTGGTTGGCTCTTCCCATACATGTACTGACCAATCTGAGGCCCCTTCTCTAATGTTTCCAGGCAGGTGTCCCTCCCCAGTCCTCAGTCTAGCAAAGGTACAGCTGTTCCCTGCATGGTCTGTGTGTGGACAAGATGGAGGTTGGAGGCATGCTTGCCACCCAGATACTCTGTGACCTGAGAAAATCCTGTGTTCTTGGGGTCTCAGATTCTCCATCTTGACCACACTGGGTCGTCAAGGTGATCCAAAGCTGTGTGTGGACCAGGGTCCCTCAGCTTCCACCCAGGTAGCCTGTGATGACTCTGGATGACTAGCTGAGCAGAGGCTCTGAGCAGGGGTAGGTGCAGGAGTCAAGCTTCACTTGTCTTTCCTTCAGAGAGGGAACTGGGGCCCCACTCTGCTCTGCCTGAGCTGTCACCATTGCAGCCTCAGTACTTGCATCATGCTGTCCCAAAGGAAGGTACCACTGGACACAGGGATCTGCCCCACATTGGCAACAAGTTGCAGGGCACATGCCTTGCTAGGCTCTTGGATATCTGTTGCCTTTGATGAGCTGAAGTGGTATTTGATGGACAGTGGTCTTTATTGTTAGTCTCTGGCACTTTCAATCTGGTGGATGAGGGGACTAGAAAATGGCAAAGGGCTCGTGTCCAGCTCCTTGGAAAAACCAGCTGGGCAGTGGTGGCGCACGCCTTTAATCCCAGCACTTGGGAGGCAGAGACAGGTGGATTTCTGAGTTCAAGGCCAGCCTGGTCTACAGAGTGAGTTCCAGGACAGCCAGGACTACACAGAGAAATCCTGTCTCAAAAAACAAAACAACAACAACAACAACCCCCCCCCAAACCCCCCCAAAACCAACCAACCAACCAAAAAAACCCTAGGATACTCAGGGACAGGGAGATCTCTGCTTCCTGTAACAGCATTTATTTGTGATAGGGGTGATAGGGAACTGTCCAATGCAGGAAGCCATGGTCTTGTTTGTTCTTTGGGATGTTGGTGGCTCTGGCAATGTCCCGAGTTCAGCAAAAACAAATTATATTTTTTAAGTATTTGGAGACCGGTTTTCCTTACTTATGATGGATGACATTGAACTCCCAACCCTGTTGCTACCACCTTTCACGTCCCAGGAATACTGGTATGCACCACCACATAGGGTTTATGTGGTACTGAGTAACCCAGTGCATGCTTGGCAAACACTCTACTAACTCAGCTACATCCCCAGGCGTATATTCAACTTTAAGTGCACAAACTCACCCCACTGGGATAACCAACATCCTAGCCAAGATGGGGAAGGTTCCTGCCAGCCTGGCAGGAGACGGGCTTCTTGACATACCCTTGGCTTATACAGGGGTCCCAGCCCATCCACCTCCACCAAAGATGTGGCTAGCTGCCCAGCCATCTGCTACATTGAGCTGTGTATGGCCAGAGGGGTGGTGGGCAGAGGCCTGCTGGCACCCATCTCTGTGGACCTGGACAGGCACGTTTGGTGGGCACTCAGGCACCATATGGCACTTGGCCTGAGGCTGATCCAAAGGGCTAGAGGCTAAGGCACCTGCTGTGCACAGGTTTAGGTGGTGCCTTGAGTAACAGCTCATTACACCTCTCAGGGATAGTTAGGCATCACAGCAGACTGCCTAGCAGGTGGCCCCGGAGGGCTGTGCTTATATAAGGCCAGGCATGCTGCATGAAGATCAGCCAGAAGGCTAGGATGGAAGACCACGGTGGCAGGAGGTCCTGCCCCGAGTGATGTTCCCAGCTACTACTGTTCAGGACTCTAGCTTCTTTAAAGACTGCTGTGGGGAGTGGGCTCTGCCTCCTACCAGGGCTTCTGTCTAGCCTGGGGTAAACTTGCCGAGGACTGAGTCAGCAATGGAAGATGATCTGTCTCAGGAGTTCTGGGGCTCACGGTTCTGGGGGGAACACTGTAGATTTGGGGGGGGTCTTAGTCCCATCCCCACATTTGATTGAGAGACCTTGCTCTAGGCTGCCAGGGCTCAGCCCCTAGTCCTGCTTTTCTCCCTCTCTCTCTCTCTCTCTCTCTCTCTCTCTCTCTCTCTCTCTCTTTTTTTTTTTTTTTTTGGTGTTTTTCGAGACAGGGTTTCTCTGTGTAGCTCTGGCTGTCCTGGAACTCACTCTGTAGACCAGGCTGGCCTCAAACTCAGAAATCCACCTGCCTCTGCCTCCCAAATGCTGGGATTAAAGGCGTGCGCCACCACCGCCTGGCTTTTTTTCTTTTTTCTTTTTTTGCTTTTCTCATCTGAGTCTAATGGGCCCATTTTCTCTTGCACTTTGAAGCTGTAATTTTCCTGACAAAATGTTTTAAAAAGCTGCATGCACTGAAACATTTTCAAAATTACAGGTGTAGTACTCTTAGCACATGCACAGTTTACATTAGTGCACCTATGCTTGTGGCATTTCTGAAGGGTGGCCCTACATTCTGAAGGGTGGTGGCTCTGGGTGTGCTGCTCATTTGTGACAATGCGTGTGACACCACTGGATGGCAGTGGGGAGCATCTGGGCTGTTGTTCATCTTTTTCACAGTGAGGATGACAGGCTACGTGGCAGTGAGTGGATGTCTTTCATGCTGTCTCACCATGTCAGTAAAGGAGACTGGCTCTCTTCTGGGTGTGGGGTACCTTCCTGCCAATCCTGCCTTGAAGATTTTACCTTCCTGGCCTCCTGGAATGGGGCATCTCCCTCCACTCCCAGTGGTACCAGCTGCTTTGCATAGCAGTGTCCTTTCCATGCCCTTCAGGGTCCCATGGGGCCAGGGGCGCTCCAGCAGCTCCCTTTCCTGCTGACACGAGCCGTCCGCTGTCCTTGGAAGGCAGAGGCAGATGATGCAGACAGCTTGGGTCTTAGTGACATTTATCATTGATGTATTAGCATCCCCCCTCCCCTGTTTTAGGGCCCGCTATCATAAGCATGAGTGTTTAGCTTTGATATGGCTCTCGCAGATGTGACTGATTTGGGGGTCATGGCTCCTCTGGGGGAGTGTTATGCCTGAGGTCAGCTCTGTGGATTGGTGTCTCTTGGGGCGTCTTGCTGCTTTTGACGTCCAGCTCTTCCAGAGCAGGTGCAGTGTGGAGTGAGGGTGGGGAGACCTCACTTTAGTCTTGGTACTTCTGATCTAGTCCAAGGTAGCAAGCAGGGGGTATTACTTCTGCCTAGCAGTATGAGGGCCACGAAAGTCCTTCCATAACCTGTGAGTCCCCTTATTGGGTCCCGGGAGACCTTACGATGGTTGGGAATGGCTGGAGACCATGGGAACAGCACATGAAGACAGGTAAGGACCTGCTTGCCATGGGGGAAGCCTCCCAGATCCAGTAGCCTTGTCATTGGGTGATTCTGTGAACATCACCTGATCAGATCTCTATTAGGGGGACTTCTCCCCACAGGCTGAATGGGGGTGCCCAGCCCATCCATCTGCCTTACTTGGTCAACACCACAGACAGTACTACCTCTCAGCCACTGCAGCCCTGCAGGGGCCCCTCCCATTGTAAAGGAGACATCTCTGTGGATTGGCTCACCAGAGCTACTGTATGGCTCTGAGGATGGATCTCTAAGTACAAATCACTCAGGGCATATGCACACCTTTCCCTGGCAGGCTCCCTGAACCTTCTCCAGGATCCAGAGCTTCCTGAATGGACAGCATTTCCAGGTTCCTTGCTTCTTGATGACTCTACAGTAATGTCTCCAGTAGTTACCTGAACTTAGAACCTTGGGTCAGAACCTCCATCATGGGCTCCTGTGTCCTGTCCTGTGCAGCTCTCTGTTGGGCTGCTAGGCCTTTTCCTAGTGCCTATCAGGTATTGATCCATCACTAGCTTCCTGGAATATATCTTCCTTCCTCATTTGGCAGAACCCAAGGCCTCATATGAGGGTGAGGCCATAGTTTTCCCCTCCTATGGCAGCCCTGTACCCTGGGACAGACTAGATGTTCCCGTCACCATGCCATGATAAATCTTCTCTAAATCAACCACCACATGCCTTCCTTCCTTGCTTCCTCTTATTTTTATTTATTATTATTATTTTTTTTTTTTTGGTTTTTCGAGGCAGGGTTTCTCTGTGTAGTCCTGGCTGTCCTGGAACTCACTCTGTAGACCAGGCTGGCCTTGAACTCTTGAACTCAGAAATCTGCCTGCCTCTGCCTCCCAAGTGCTGGGATTAAAGGCGTGCCTCACCACTGCCCAGCTGTTTTGATTTTTATAAAAAGGAGTGATGGGAGCCTGGTGTAGTGGCATGCACCTTCAATCCCAGCACTCGGGAGGCAGAAGTAATTGGATCTCTGAGTTAAAGGCCAGCCTGGTCTACAAAGGAAGTTCCAAGACAGTCAGGATTACACAGAGAAACCCTGTCTCGAAAAACACCAAAAAAAAAAAAAAAAAAAAAAAAACCAAAACGAAACAAAAATGAAGAAAAAAAGTGAAGAAACTCGGCAGCTTGGGGAGGTAGGAGGAGGCTTGGGAAGGCTGGGCAGTAGCAGGTGCTCCAGTGAGAGTCTCTGGTTGTTACCACAGAGCTACTGCAATTTAATTATGAGCAGTAGTGTGCTGAGCCAGGGTTTCTCTGCTCAGGGTTATGGGTAGCCCAGGACACCAGAAGCCAGGAGCAGGGGGCCATACAGGTGGGTGGGCCACTCAATTACCATGGCCTACATAGGGTGTGGGGAAGGAAGGTGCAGGATCAGAAGGCCAAAGGAGATTCAGACTCTTCCGCTCAGATACAGGGTTAGTGGATGTATTCTGAAGGGAATCTGAAGGCATAGTCTCACTGGGATGTGCATAAGGAGATGTACTCTGCCACAGGCAACTGTCAAAGGGGGAAAAGGGAAGGGACTTGAGGAGTGGTATCCTGCTGCAGGAATTAAGCTGTCTCTGGTGGTTCCCCAGCTGACAATGTTGGCCTGAGCTTGTGGGTAGAGCCTTGCCCTAGGGGTCAGGAACCCTATCAGCCAACCTCACCCTCTCTGTCTCTCTCTCTTTCCCCACCTCTGTGGTCCTAGCTGGGTGGCTGTGGTGTCCTGGGTGTTGGCATCTGGCTGGCTGCCACACAGGGAAACTTTGCCACCCTATCATCCTCATTCCCATCCTTGTCGGCTGCCAATCTGCTCATCGTCACCGGTACCTTCGTCATGGCCATCGGCTTCGTGGGCTGCATCGGGGCCCTCAAGGAGAACAAGTGCCTACTGCTCACTGTGAGTTTGTTGGGCTCTCTCTGTGGCTCTGTCTATCAGCTCCACCTCTGAGGCCTGTCCAGCACCAGGGCTCTGTGAGGCTGGAGGGGTTGCTGGGTCTGGGACACAGAGTAAGACCCTATCTCAAAATCAAGTTTAAAATGGGGAGGGTACCGGGGATACAGATCTATGCTTGTATGATATGCATGAGGCTCTGGGTTTAAGTCTTAGCACCACACATACAAAAAAGCATACCAGAGCATAGAGGGACTTCTCTTGACAGGACACAGACCCAAGAACTTAGGTATACCCACTAGTGGCCTTTACCAAACTGTTCTGATTGATACTCATCCTTGTGGTGGCTTTACTCCAGCTCCTGGTCCTGCCCCTGGCCCCACCCTCTGTGGAAGTAGCACCATTTGGCCTTGGGAATATATTTATGGAAAGGAAGCTATTTCCTCCTCCACAGTTTATAAAGTTAATTACAGGTAATTAGGAAAGGAGTCCTGGAGGATCTTACAAATTACTGTGCCTGGCAGAGGCCTCAAGCTGCATGGCAGGTGGACTGAAGCTCCATGTCAAAAGGTTTTGAATGGTTCTCTTCCTCTTCCTGGGATAGGAGTTTGCTCAGGTCTCAATCCCTTGTAGAGAAAACTGATCCCTTCTCTTCGCACCCTTAGGGGTATTGCAGACTATCTATAGGCCTCTGATAGGTAATATTTGGGATCTCTTTTAAATTCCCAAGTCATGGCTGGGAATGGAGCTCAGCTGTAGAGTACTTACTTGTCTAACATATATCCCAGTATGGGGGGAGGGGTGAAGAGAGCCCCAAATAGAGATATCAGGCCAGGAGCCCGGGGAACAGGGACATGCACGCACATGGGGATGTTTAGATCAGGCATAGGGGCAGAATCCAGGCCAGCAGGCCATTTAGGCTCTGGGACGGTCTGCCCTGGCTCTGGAGTCCCATGGTGCAGCAGGAGTTCTGGGGCTCTCCAGGAGCAGGGCTGTGAGTAAGGGACATGTTCTCTACAGTTCTTTGTGCTGCTGCTGCTAGTGTTCCTGCTGGAAGCCACCACTGCTGTGCTCTTCTTTGCCTACAGTGACAAGGTATGTTACTGCAAATGGAAAGTACACTGGGAACTGGGGGACTTAGTGTAGAAAGTACCAGAGCCTCAGGGATCTGTGCTGTGGCTCTGGTTGTATGGGTGGGACAACAGCACTCTTAATTCCTTGGATACATGGCCAGAGCCCTCTACTTAATACAGGTTGCTAAGTGTGTACTGTCCTAACAACCCCAACCCACATTGCTGCTTACTGTGTATTATACGTCGTTTCCCATATCAATCTGCCTGGTCACACAGTTGGGTTTACTGACATATTTTAGGATCTTGAATTATAGCTAGTGCTATGTTCCCAGCTCCTGTGTCCCCAACTTCCCCGTAGGACCTCCTTTCTGTAAAGTACCCCTGGACTATAGGAGGCTCCCTGTATAGGCTGGAGTTACCCTTCAATGCCTTAGTTCCTTTACTGGAGATCTAGGAATGGTGCCCATACCCTCAGCTGTTGAACAGACATGTCTGTTCTTACTACCAAGTAGAGTGAAGTCCTCCCCTAGCCAACAAAGGGAAGGAAACCTATAGAGATGAGACGGCAAAGGCTTGCACCAGGGTCCTTGAAGCTTCTGGGAGGACATGATCCTGGGCTGTGTCCTGAGTGTAATGGGGTGGTAGGGTAGGGGGTAATCCCAGGAAACAAGCAAGAGGTTCATGTAGAGAGGGAATGGGGTACTGATGAAGGATACTATCCTGTTTTAGACTGATGTGGAGGGTATTAACTGGTGGTCTGTTAACAGATCGACAGTTATGCCCAGCAAGACCTGAAGAAGGGCCTGCATCTGTATGGCACACAGGGCAATGTGGGCCTCACCAATGCTTGGAGCATCATCCAGACTGATGTGAGGCTTGGGCAGCCTGCTTGGTATGGTGGACAGGCTGGTGGGGGTGGGTGTTGTGGCTACCTCTCCACCCAGTCCTTTGCTTTCTTCCTGCTTCTAGTTCCGATGTTGTGGAGTTTCCAATTACACTGATTGGTTTGAGGTATACAATGCCACTCGTGTGCCTGACTCCTGCTGTCTGGAGTTCAGTGACAGCTGTGGGTTACATGAACCTGGTACCTGGTGGAAGTCGGTAAGAGCTTTTCCTTCCTCTGGTGGGTGGTTGCAGGGGTGGGGTTCCCCAAGCTGATTCTGGCTCTCTTGCAGCCCTGTTATGAGACAGTGAAGGCCTGGCTCCAGGAGAACCTGCTAGCTGTGGGCATCTTTGGACTGTGCACAGCACTGGTGCAGGTGAGCTGAGCAGGGCAGTTCCTGGGATTCCTGACTACAATGACAGAGGACTTGCTCATGAGCTTGTGACCTGGGTAGGCAGGTAGCAATGCAGACTGTAAGAAGCCAGTGTCTCAGACAGAGGAAGTTCACTAGGGGAGGTAACCTTTGGCATCTCAAGGACCAAGTGTTGCCCTTGTGCAGTACTCCCTGTGCAGAGCCTGTTGTCACCTAGTGGGTCAACACAGCCAGGTAACCATATTGACTGGTAGTGACAGGACGTCCCAGGGCAGAATGAGAATGGCACTTGATACCTTGCTGCCTTCGGGCCCTGCTCGTCCCTCTTGGGTTCATAGCCATCTATAGAATTGCTGAGGGTTGGTAGTGTGATGCCCCAGGCTAAGTGGAACAGACCTATATCCATCTGGCAAACAGATACTACTCAGTTGGCTAGGATAAGTAGGTACAGTAGGATAGGCAGCAGGGCTTAGACCAGCTGTGCAGAGGGGTGCAACCTAATGTTCAGAATGTAACTTACCCTGGAGGTGAAATGCAAGAGTGCAGTAATACCAGGATGCTCCAGGAACCCCAGTCAGGGCACCAATGAAGACCAGCGCTTCTGCCTATGAGCAAGGGCCTGTGATCTCTTGTCTCCACAGATTCTGGGCCTCACCTTTGCTATGACCATGTACTGCCAGGTGGTAAAGGCGGACACATACTGTGCATAGCTCTCACAGCCTCTGCTTCTCTGCCAAAGGACCCCGCCCATGGGGAGATGTCAGACCTGCTTCCCATGCAGGACTTGGTGCTCCGCTGAATGCAAGGGGGAAAAGCCTGAGGCCACAGCACCCAGGATCCATCCCTGCACCTGAGGGGACTCTGCTTGGGTGCCAGCAGATTATAGGGTTGGTGCCAAATGGCATCTAGGGCTAAGGGCCCAGGGGACTTTGACACTTTTTATATCTATATATATCTTCCAGAGTTCACACAGGACGGGGTTCCCAGCCTTGCATGTATGCCAGGTTGGGGGCAGGCCCAGTCTGCTCAAGACCCATGATGATCTTGGTGCTCCAGGCAGGGCCAGGTCCCATGATCCACATTCCATGACAGGTTGTGGTTCCAGATGCATCTTAATAAAGTATGTGAGCAGTCCTTGGGTCTAGCTGGACATACAAAGGTTGTACAGCCATAGCCTTCAACTGAGGAAGTTCTTTCATTTTCCAAGGGTCTGCAGAGCTTAGAGCTCAGGGGAACACTGCTAACCTGTTTTAGTTGGGGGAAAGGGTGGCCTCTGTTCATTCCCGTTTCCCCTGGGCTACCTCAGTTACTCTTGTATTTCTGTCCTAGTACCTCTGCCCCCTGGATTAGTTTGGATAGACTGAAAATTGCAACACTAGAAATACAGAGTCCTCGCCACTGGCCAGAGTCATATAGAGCATCAGGCCACCATCAAGAAGACATCAAAGACAGTCTTCTTAACTAGGGGATAAAGAAGAGCTGTAGGTAAGGGCCTTTGACCATAGGGATGGTACTCTGGGGGTTCAGATTAAGATGAGCTCCCAGGACCCTCAGGAGCTGTGAGGCATCTGACTCTCAGTCTCTACCTCCTGCTGTCTGAGGGGCTACTCTGAGACACAGTTCTCATTAGGAGTCATCCTTGTGACTCACACACCTGAGTGTCATGTGCACTAGAGAAAATTTGACCCAAATATCTGTAGAGCTGCTGCTATCCTTCCTGTTCTCTGGCTCTGGGCTGAGTCCTTGTGTCCCACTGCCCTCCCTCTAGTAGAAGCCATAGGACCCTGACGAGTCTCAGAGTTACTGTGGAGTCACCTGCTCCAGGCAAGCTGCTAATTAGCCCTGTTACTCATAGATGGCCAAACTGAGTAGAAGTTGTACTCTACTCAGTATAGTGGGGTGCTGACCCTCAAACCCTGGGCCCTTTTGACCTCCACTCAAATCCCAGGATGCCCTTTCCTTTCTCCCCCTTTCCTCCTCAAGCTCAGCAGCTGTCATGTATGGCTCATGGTTAGCAGCTCACCATAGCCACTGACTGCCTTGCCCTTCACTGACTGAATTTCTATCTACCAGTCTGTCAGCTTTTGGGCAGCACCTCTGCATACCTCAGCTTTGCTGACTCAAACCCAGAACCTGAAGGTCACTGCTCAGTGGGATGTCCCTGCATGGTTCTTGGGGTTAACCTCCAGTACCAATGAGGGGAAAACAATTGAGAGGCCAAGCTGGTCGCTCACTTTTCTATGGCCCTGGAGAACTCACCCAGGGTCCATTGACTCCCATCATTTGACTGCACCAGGACCCTTGCCTGTGGCACTCTGACCTATACTGCTTGTCCTCATGCCTCCTTGATCATGCCGTCTGCTCACAGAAGGCTGTTCCCTAGCCCACTTCTGCTCCTTCACCAGTGTTCTGCCCACAACTAGTTGAGCTCCACATCACTCACTTCTTATATTCAGAGAATACTCCCATCTGCTAAACCCTCAGAGTCAAGGCTAGAAGGACTCAGGCTCTGTCATTGGGCAGCCAGTGTGGGGACCAGGCTCTTTCATGGCCCCACAGTGCCAGCCAATTCCTACTACCTCATGACACACATAGCACACTGATGACCACTTCTTACAGCATGGGAGGTCAAGATGCCTCTCTGTCCCTCACAGCAGCCTTCTTATCCTGCCCTGGCTATGCCTCTTCACTGAGGTCTGTAGAGCTATATCTCCTCAAAGTTAGCAGGGTCAGGACAGCCCCCAAGTCCTTTACAGGTATCAGATAGTTGGCAGAGTCTATCCATCTCAGGGATCCCCTGACCCAGCACCCCAAGTTCTCGGCCTTGGCCACACTGACCTGAGTGACCAGTAGGTTATAGTCAATAGGTGGTTCAACTGATGGCTAGGTAGGACTACCCACTCCAAAGCCATTCCAAGTGGGAGAGGTTCAGCCTTTTATGAGTCAGGCCTGGCCCTGTTGTTTTAGCATCCTCCCCGTTTCTAACACTGAGAATCCTGAGCTACAAATCTCAGAAACTCACAGTGCAGAGTCCTAGTTAAGGTTTCTGACCTCTATGGCTTAGGCCTTGGCTAGTGGATTAGAAAGTTCCACCCAAGGGCCTACAGGACTAGAAATCACTACCTTGAGATCATATCCAGCAGGGGATGAGGGAACTTGGAATGAAGGAGTGAAGAAATAAGTAGATCAGCCATTCTTTACCTTTTGGTGCCTCAGAAGTCTTGGACATCTTCCCAACATTGTATCAGCATGTTGTTGTTCATTAAGATAGATAGACCCCTTCTGATCTCATGATACTGGTCCCACTCAGCCCACAGGTGCCACTGCTGTCCCACAGGCAGGCCCTATCCTGTTATCTGGTGGACACAGTCTGGGCTATCCCTATGGTGTTTCACAGAAGTAAGTCCAGCTTCTCTGGGCCAGTTTCCAATATGATTGTACAACCTGGTCACATCAAGCCCAGTGGGGATAGGTGTAGGACCTGCCCCAAGTATCGGGCACCATGAATATACACCTGTGTTTGTGGTAGGTAGGTGATCATAGTATGAAAGCAGGGCCCTCTGCACTGCCTTTGTCAGGGTTTAGGGTGATGCTAAGAAGGGCTGCCTAGAAGAGCCTGTGATTGTTCACATCTTCCAAACCCACATCCTACACAGGCCTTGCAAAGCACTCAAGAGCCCTGAGCCCAGAGCCAGGCTGTCCTAGGGGATGGGAGTTGTGTTTTCACCTGGCCCACAGCAGGCAGCAGTGAGTAGTGAGTAGAAAGGATCCCAATTCTTATCCTGGACCAGGAAACACCCATGCATGTGGACCCTGCTGAGGACCATAGCAGCTGTTTCACGGTAAACAGAGAAGAGGCCTATATTTCACCAGTCACTCCATGGCTTAGAAAAGTCCAGTCACTTGGGGGTTGCTTTCCAGCCTACAGCAGGTCATAGAAGTAATCCAGGCCTTGGCCCAGCTCCCAGATGGAGACCCCGACGCCCAGCTCCCTGGCTAGCTCCAGCCGCACCTGCAGAGACTGGGGGCAGACAGAAGTGTGGGCACCTGCTCCACCCACTTCCTCACTGCCCCCACAATATACCCCAAATTACCCTAGACATGGGGGCAGTGTGTGGCCTGGAATCAAGCCCACAGGACAGACCTCGAATGCAGATGGCAAGTACTGACAACAGTGATGTCATCTGGCCAAAACTCACTCCCACCACAGCATTATAGTTGACAGCCAAAGCACATGGCACATACCTTCAGAGTTGGGTAGAAGACAACATGCCTCCCGCCACGATTCCTGCAGGAGAAATGGGACCGTGAGCCCTGCCTTCTGGCTACACTCTCCTTCCATCAGGGTGAAGGTCCACCAGTCCTGGCCCCTCACTGTTTCCCACCCCTGTTGTTCCCTCTTCATTGTCCTCCCCACAAGGCTTCCTGCCTCCAACTTGGTAGGCTACAAATCACTCACTTCTTGTACTCAAAGAAGTGCTCCGCAGCCTGGCTGTCCCATACCATTCGGGGTCTGTGGTCCTTCAGCGTCTGTATGTACCTAGAGAGATCAGGTTATGAGTGTGAGAGCTAGCCACATACCTCAGCCCACCCCTAAGCCCCAGCTTCTATGTGGCTATGGATATTACAGAAAGAGTGAGCAATACATTGTTCTTAAAGGTTCACAGTGAGCCAGCAGCACTTTGTATTATGTTCAGCCAGTAAGCTTGGGTGGTCAAACCTTGAAGTCCCACTGTACACAAGTCCTGCACTAGAAAACAGCACCTTTTGTGATCCTACTTGGGGGAGCCAATGGACAGACCACCTGATGCTCTGCTCTGACCTTGCTCTACCCTGAGATAAACTTCAGTTGCTCCACCAAGCTGTGGGCCAAGGATGAAAGGACAGGGCTTTTGCCAGGACAGTGGCAGAAACATTGGCTTTGATAGGCTGAGTGTCCCAGGCTTTCCTTTCCCCAGGTGAACACTGCTGCCTGCCTCATTTCCAGAGCTGCAGTAGTGCTGCCCTTCCTGAAGAAAGGCTTGTTCTCAACTGCTTGGTCCAAGACTGCAGTTTCCATCAATGCAGGGAGGACCCACAGCACATAGCCAATCACATGCTGTACATCTGAGACCAGAACAGTGTCCCTCCCAGATAAAGACCAAAATGCCCAAAAGTATGTTAATAGATGGTCTGGGAGAATGTCCTGTTTGCATCTGGGAGTCTGCAGGTACAGGCCTCCCTGATCCAGCAGCACAACCAAGAACTGTTGTGGGAGGGTGGGTACAGGCAGCTGTAGCCTGGAGTGTCTTCAGGGTTATTAGTCAGGGCTCTGAGAGAAGGCACAGTGGGCAGCAGAGGCTCCAGCACCCTGGTGGATTAGGTATGGGATCCTCCGGCAAAGGAGCTGCCTTCTAGATCTGAGTTGTAGTTGTCTTAGGCTCCTGACAAAAGGAGGGTACAGTGCTGAGTCCCAGCAGCCCCCAAGGTATCTTGGAGACTTAAACAACTGTCATCTTGTCCAGCAGTGCTCCAGAGAGTATCAAGCTCTGGAGAATGGCCCTGGCCTCATGGAACATGGAGTAGGAGCTACTGTACAGATATGAGGTCTCCAATATACCAATAAGTCAGGAGAAGGAAGAAGGCAGGGTGAGTAGGGAACGAATAGTTATGAATAGACAGTCTGGCTCACAGCCACCTCTCAGCCCAAGCTGAACTCTCTTTGCAAACTTGTGGTCACAGTTCCACCTTCCCATGCTTAGGAAAGCACTATTGTCCCTTCTCTCAAACAATACCCCAACTCTGAATTAGGCTGGTTCCTCAGTGGCCACACGCAGACCACAGCAAATGAAGGCAGGTGAAGTACTGGAAAGGTGTGGCAGTGGCACCCAGCCTTCAGAGCTGATGCAAGACACTGAAGCACCTCCACGCACATGGCATTATCTACCCTGAGTGCAGTCGTCTCTACAGTGTGGCAAGAACTACCCTATACGCCGGGCGTTGGTGGCGCACTCCTTTAATCCCAGCACTTGGGAGGCAGAGGCAGGCGGATTTCTGAGTTCGAGGCCAGCCTGGTCTACAGAGTGAGTTCCAGGACAGCCAGGACTACACAGAGAAACCCTGTCTTGAAAAACCAAAAAAAAAAAAAAAAAAAG